AGCCTCTACACAGGCATCTCTACCCTTCCCAGAGGGCTGGGGAGAGCTGGTCCCTCTGCCCAGGAAGCCTCTACACAGGCATCTCTACCCTTCCCGGAAGGCTGGGCAGGAAGCACCTGGCGTTTAGCTCCTCTATCTGGGACTCCATGGGCATATCGGAGAGCTGAGTGGAGGACGAGTCTTTCTTGGCACTTCCAGTTGAGTTGGGCTTGGTGCTGGCAGCAGGCGGCCCTGTGGAGGAGCAGCAGACACTCTGTAGTGAGGTCAGAACTGTGCAAGCTCTCCCTTCTCCCCCACTACAGGGAGCAGGGGTGGGGGCTGCCTCTGCCTAGGCGGCTTCCCTGACTGCTCTCTACATCTCTAACCCAGGCTCTGCCTGCTTGTGCAGAGTGGCCCTCACGTGGCTATCAACCTCCACCCCTCATTTCTGTCACTTGTTTGTACCAAAAGTAGATAGTGGGACCTTAGAGCTGGCCTGAGAGATGAGCCTAGGCTGCTACTGTTTCTGGTCCCCACACCCTGGTTCCCCACAGACTCCATTGAGCCCAGCAGCATTATACTAGGAAGCTATGGGTGACTAGGCTTAGAGGCCAGAGAGGAAAAGAACAAAGACATTGGTGACCTTGGGTGACAGTCTCAAGGCATCATATATCCTGAGCTAAAACTGCCTCAGGAAACCTCCAGCCTTAGCAGCACTGGCCTTTGTCCGTGCTGTGTGGCCTTGGGTAAACCATGGACCTCTCTGAGGTGGCCTCCTCACTTGGGGACAAGGGGACAGAACTGTCACTGGCACTTTGAGGACAGATGGACTCACATTTGTCCTCAGCCTGTGTGACTGACTAAGACCTCTGAGCCGTCTCCCACTGCTCCCTGCTACCCTAGGCTCCTGCCTCCTTCCCGATCCACTGAACTTGGCTGTGTTCACACCATGTCCTTGTGTTTACTGGTCCCTGTCCCTGTGTGCTTGGCCTCTTCCCTTCCCTTCCCTCTGCTCAGGGAGGTGGTTTCACAACCTGACCGTCTCATGAGCTGTCCCGGGACAGGTGAGACAACAGGAGAGCTGTGCTCCCCAACAGGGCAGTGAGTGACAGAGGCCACGTGGGCCCTTCAGGCATCCTGGACCACAGGACAGAGCTACCTAGATAAAGAGAGTGACACCCAAGAAAGGAACTTGGGCCTCCCAGCCATGGAAAGTCCACCTGAGTCCTGCTTACAGTCTGGCCCAGCAGACCAGTTCTGCAAAAGACCAGTTTTGCTCAGGACTCCATTAGGCTCGCTGGAAGGCCAAGCAAAGGCTCCGGCAGCCAGTGCATGGGATGGTGGCTGAGGGCATGCAGTGGGGGCACTGGTATTTCATGCTAAGGCTCCTAGACCTGAGACTCTGGGAGCCATGGTGGTACACAGGGCAACAAGTCCCCCACAGCAGAGACACACAGAGCTCCCACACTTACTGATGAAGAGCACGGGTGCCCACCTGCTCCTGAGGCTGTGTCACCTACTGGGCTCCTACCTGGCTTGTTCTTAGTAGCTTTCTGGGACACTGAGGCCCGGGCTGGCTCCAGGCGCATCTTCTCCAGGTGCTGTTCCAGCAGTACAGCTCGCTGGCGCTCCTCCTGCAGCCTGCGCTCTGCTTCCAGTAGCTTGCTGCTGCTCTCCTCCACCCTGGCCATTAGACACAAGCTGCACACCCTGCAGGCAGGCGCCCCCATACCCAGTGCTTGGATCCCGCACTGGTGGACACACTATGGAGGTGGTAGCTTGCCACCCTTGTCTTCATGTTCATGGCACTGACACCAGAACAGGCATTTCAAACTCATGCAGTTCTCTCTAAGGCTTCTGATGCAAATCTGGCAGGTGTCCCACCCCTTTGCTCCTAACCCCTGTCCTCAGAGCAACCATCTCTCTGACATTTCTGCTGTTGCTTCTAGAACTTTCTGCCACATGGTGCGGATGTCCATGTGCCTAGCTTTAAGGCTTCCTGTCATTCTGAATGATTGCATTTCATTTTACTATCCCCTATTGAACTCAGCCACTTCTCCCCTTCCCGACTGAGCTGACACGGGTGGTGTGCCTGCTTCCCACTGCTGTTGTAACGCGCCTACCACAAAACCAGCAAAAATTAATGCACATAATTAGCACAAAGTTGCTTGAAGACAACACAAAGTTAATGTCTCATGGCTCTCTAAGTCTGAAGGCAGCAGGCTCCATGTACCACAGGTTGGACAGCCAATGTCTTGGGTTTCTATCTAGATAGAGTCCTAGGTGGTGGGGAGAAGGGGAGGGGGAGGGGGAAGGGGGGAGGGGGGAGGAGAAGTCCCTTCCAAGATCACTCAAGCATGGTGGCTCCAGGAGCTGCCTCTCTCCCTGCCTCCTGCTGGCTTCAAAGGGTACACGGCTCCCTCCATCCTCAAAGCTGTCTATCAATCCCTCCAACCTGAGAGCTCCCCACAGCTCTCATGAGTGGCCCCAGGTACGAGAACTCCTCTGCTTTTATGGGCAGAAGTGACTCTCCAGGATAACCTCGTTTTGGGGCCCATGATGCAGTACAAAGTATTCACAGGCAGAGACTCCACGCTGCCCTGCTTTCCACAGGCACACTGGGATGACTCTTCAGTGCATCCTTACTTCGTGATTTCCCTGGACTTAGTGAGTGTCATGTACTTCTCACACCTCTACGTCTGCTGCAAACCCAAGGCCCTGAAGAGCCTGCTTCGATGATTTCACACTGCGACCTGTTCCATCCCATGAGCCTTGCTGCGGCTCCATCAAGCACTTTGGATTTCTGTGGCACTAAACACTCAGAAGGCCAGGAATCTGAGATCCATTCTGAGCAAAAGGTTACAGAAATAGGTGCAGATCAAAGCTGCAGCCCGAAGTCCATGGCAGACGGTGGAGAATGAATGATCTTCTGTGTTGGTTAGGGGCAATGAAGGATTGGAAAGACAAGAAACTTGAAAAGAATCCAATTACTAACCAAAAATGGTGCACTGGCCTGTTGCTTTAACTAATCAGCAGCCACAAGGTACACACTACCTTCAAAAGCCAGATGCACACCAACTCAAAGGCTGAATGGAAGAGTGGGCCTGTGCTCATGCCAGCACAGTTGAGCTGAGCAGAGCTGCCCAGCATGGTGGGCAGCTAAACAAAGAAATGAGCCCCCAGCTCCTCAGGCACATGGGAACATAGTTTTTTAGAAAGCTTCCTGTGGTTAGTGATGACCTTACCGGCTGGCCACTGCAGACTTTACCCATCTCTGTCTGCTCTACAGGACACTATAACCATCAACACAAATGCAGCCACTCTGCAGGGCACAGGGTCATCGAAACAAAACTGCCATGAGAGTACAGACAGGACAATGACAAGAGTAAGCTCACTCAGCAATGGCATCAGCGAGCTGGCCTGTCCATGTCTGCAGATGCTGGAACTGAGGTCCTAGACAACAGGACGGGGTGGGCAGGGGTCAAGATCAGAAAATGATAGACAGCTTAGTCTGGCTGCTGTTTGCCTGGCAACAAGATGGCTCTGGTCCGTATCCATGCTAGTAGAGGTTTAAAGCAAGGCCAAGGACCTGCCCTGTGGGATGTCACTGGGATGTCACTAGGATGGCAGGAAGGTGGCTGCAGCCATGCAAGTACACGGAGTGGAGATGGTGCGTGGGCTGATACTCATGCCCAAACTCAGCCTCCCTCAACACCTACAGTGAGGACTCACATGCTTCCGGCTGGGGCTATGTGGGCAGAGGGTGTGTGTCCTGCATGTCCACAGCTTTCTGGGCCCTACAGTTATCTAGGGTGACCTTCACTGGACTTTCCTGTCACTGAAGCATCACAGAAAAAGGGGGAAGATGCTGTGAAGACCACTGTCTCCATGTAAGGAAGGTGGTGGCATCAGGTGACAGAAGGAGCTCCTGTGACTGGTAAATGTCTATGGCTGCTACTACAGTCCCCAGAGAGGAACCCATATGAGGGCCCACACCGTGCCCAGGGCTAGCAGAGCTACAGCAGAGCAACAAAGTGCGGCACCACAACAGGAAGTGTAGGTGAGGCTCAGGCTGAGGATGAGCATGGGCCCCTGCCCTCCTGACTGGAGGAAAACAGGAATGCTCCAGAGGTTTCAGTAAGAGTTATGGACTTTCCCTTCCTGACAGATACGATAGTCCTAAATGAAACAAAAACCCATGGTCTTGAAGATAAAGGAAGGAACTGCTCTGGAATCCGCAGCAAGAGTTTACAAAGAAGGGAGGTCATGAGTGAACTCGAGAAGGACAGGCAAGCAGAGTCAAAGGATCTCTACACAAGTAACGACAGTTCAGAAACCAGGAGGGAGTCCAAGCCTCCAGGAGAAACTGCAAAGCAAACTCCCCGCACTAACGGGAGACTAAAGCCTCTTAGATCTGCCACTCATTGAGTGATTGTGTGTGTACGCACACATGTGCGTGCCTGTGTGTGTGTGTGTACATGTACGGATGTGCATTCAGGTATGCATGTGTGCACACACGCGCGCACGCATGCATGTGTGTGTGTGTGTGTGTGTGTGAGCGAGCCTGTCTGTCTGTCAGGGGACAGCCCTGAGCCTTCACTGCTTAACCATCTCTCAAGCCCAGAGCTTCTTATGACTTCAGAGTCACCAGAGACACGCTGTCTTCAAACAATACAAGAATTCCAGGAAAAGAAAGGAATGTCTGCAATCTAACAGCAACAGGATTCAAGACAACCTTGTTAAAAAGTAGGCAAAAAGTATTATGCCTCAAAGAAGATATAAGAGTTACTGTTCACACATGAAAGAAACTTTCAGCATCTGTTAGCCCTAGGGAAACTGAAGCCACATTGAGACAAAACTTCAGACCTGTTAGGATGGCTCCATATGGAAATAAAACCAAACAATCTTGTGGTCCCTGGAGACCCAGCATCATCAGCATCAGAGCTGTCTGGAAGGCTGTAAGGGATGACGGTAAGACCCTCTCTGCAGGGGAAAAATGCACAAGGAAGAGTCACTGCTATTCACAGTCCTCCAAGTTCCTAGAGGCTGGAATGGGTGTAGCTGGTGGTAGAGTCTTAACAAGTCCAGAGCCCTGTGCTCATCCCCAGCACATAGAAAAAATAAAACAAAATGCACCACTAATCCCAGCACCCGGGAGGCAGGGAGGAGAAGCCCTATGAATCTGAGGCCAGCATGAACTACACAGTGAGCTCAAAGATAGCCAGGGCTGCTTAGTAAGGCCCTGTCTCAAAAACAGACAAACACCAAGAATACAAAAACTAAGTAAACCAAGGGTAGAAATAAATACAAGAAAGTATCTGAAATCTAGAAACCAGTAACTCAGACTGAGGAATGTCAAGTAAATTAGGGACGACATGAGATCAACCCTGCAGCTGTGAAGAGAGCCCATCCCGATGACAAGGGATGGTCATGGGGTAGCAGAAAGTGGAAGAGGCAGAGATTATGCATAATGTATGGGGCAACTTAAATATTTATGACAAATTAAAAATTTAAAAGCAAACAAATCCAAGACTGCTGTCACTCTGCTGGTGAACGACATGGGAATGTGAGCTGACTGACTCACGTGGGGAAGGCAGGGCTTGCCTTTCTGCTTTGTGCTTTCAGGAATGTGTGCACTCTGTTCAACTGTGGATTCCAGTTACACTCATGGACTTAAGAAACCAATAGCTGGCATCATGGAAAACTGGAAAGCATGAGTTTCCATAGTGTGTGGGAGTGTGTATATGTGTGTATGTTGTGAGAGTGTGTGTGTGTATGTATATGTGTGAATGTGTATGTGTATATATGTGTGTGTGCATGTGAGTGTGTGTTGTGTGTGTGCATGTGAGTGTGTGTGTTGTGAGAGAGTGTGTGTATGCATGTGTGCATGTCTATGTGTGTGGAGGGGGTTGTCTGTATATTGATGTGTGCCTAACCCATGGAGAGGCCTTAGGCACCATCCACATCTTTTTCAGGACAGGGTTTCTCACTGGCCTGGAAGTGACCAAGAGGACTCAGCTGCCTCAGGCATCCATTTTTTGTCTCCTCTGAGCTCCGGTGAACAGTAATGGGAGTGACTTGGGAAGAACTAAGCAAACTTAACATTACTAACGGAGAAAGGCAAGCAAGGATGACTGTCACTGGGGAGCTAGGAGCAGGAGGGTTAGCCTCACCTACCAAAAAACAGTTAATAAAATAGTTGTTAAGGCACTCCCATCTTTTTAGACTGTATGCCTTAAATTTCTCTTCGGTTTTCTTTCAAGAGAAAGGGACCATAAAATATTTTTAAAAACAAAGGCCCAGAGAGCTGACGTTCTTTCTATGGCGGCCCTGACTGGAGCGTATCCAGGGGGTAGGTAGGAGGAAGTGAACTGGGCTTCAATGCTCACTTGCAGGAAGAGAAGCATCAGACCAGTAGCAGGCCGAGTGAGAACCTTTATGTTAAAAGACAGGAGGCCCCTCAGAACAGAGTCCTGACCTGTTCCAGAGAAAGGGATGAAACTCAGCTCATCCTCAATGAGAGGCAAGAGGTGAGAAAATCATAGAAAAAAAAAGGCTGAGACACAGAAAATACTCAATGCTGGGGTGGGGGAGCATGAGGCAGAGGCAGAGGCAGGAGGGCTGTGAGTTCAAGGCTAGCCTGGGCTACATTTGAGCCGTTATCACAAAACAAAACACGACACCAAAGCCAACAACGTTCTCTTAAACAGAGAACAGTCTAGTGATGTTTGCTTTCCTCTCACTCAGCAAGGAGAGAAATAGGTCAGCAGGCAGAGCCACTCGTCGCCAACCACGCCTTACAACCCCAGTCAGGTCTCCAGAATCCCACACGTGTGTGCGTGCACACACGCATGCACATATGAGCGCAAAGGCACACATATTATGCACAGGCATGCACATCTATACCCCCCCCACACAATTAAATAAATAAAAAACTAAAACTTTTTTTAAAGGAGAGAAATGAATAAAAATCTAAGAAATAATGTATTTCTCAGACACTGGACCCAGGTCTGAAGAGAGGAGGAAAACAGAGGTGGGCTCACCCAGCTTTCCACAGCATATGTCAGTCCCCTAGGGTGAGGGGAGTCACAGCTGAGCGTACAACTTCTCCAGGATAACAGAGGTTGAGGACTAGGTGACAACAGGTTGAGACAGCCGAAAGCTGTGGGGAGCACAGAGAAGACGGGGCTACACAGAGAAAGCCCAGGCTAACGACAAGAAAGGCTGATGTGGAAGGGCCTGGCTTCAGGATAATGCTTGGGGTCCCTTTTGCTGATGCCCAGGAAGTAAAGACAACATAACTTGGCTGATGGGTCTGAGGACAGCCCCACAGAGTCCCCCAAGTGGCACAGGGCATCAGAATGAACCTGAGGGCTCCTGGCCACTGAAAGAGAAGCATGCGGCTCACAGAGATTGCCCACCTTATACACATCCTGGCTGATTTCCTGTCTCACCCTAGGCCCATTCCTGTGAGGGGATCCCTGGGAAAGCCTACATCAGGTGAAGGGAGGGCAATGGGGGGGTGAGGTGTGAGTCACCCTGCTCCACTTATGACAGAGAAGACCAGGGGAGTGCCAGTAGCTGATGAGCTGACATCGCATGGCCCAGTTCTTAGTGAGGTACAGGATTTCAAGAGGACCAACCCATGTGCTCAAAGCCCCTTCAATCACAGACATAACTTAGGAGAGTGAAGGCCAAAGCCCAGGGGAGGGCATGGCTGCCTGTGACAGACATGAATGCAATCATACAGAGATTAGGCTTTCTGTACCTGAGACCCTGCATGTGCAGCTGTTTCCTGCTTGGGTACCAGTCACCTGACTTTCTTGGCAGCAATACCCTGTTCTTTTTTCAGTAAGCCCCCTCCCCTAATTCTGTGAGCACCTGGAGCTACCTCCAGTCTGGGGGTAGTCAAGGAGCTAAAACTCTCACAAGGACAGTACCCCTTGGGCTTTTGCTACCGAGGCTGCTGCACCTGCCTAGGCCTCTCTGCTCAGTTCTTCTTTGGCATTTTCCAGGACTTTCCAGGTCTCCCTTCCACTACCTTAGGTAGAACTGGTTTCTATTATCTGTCATCAAAGAGCCCTGACTAACACATGACACTGCTGTGAGGACAGAAGCTTGCTGGTGTCCTTTGTATTTCTCAGGATGGAGGTCACATGGTTACATGCTGGCCTGAATACCTGCAGTTTTTGCCAGCTGGGTCACGTGTGCAGGGGCACTGATTGAGTGGGTGGACCCTGTCAGCAGCCCTCTGGAGGCAGCTGGACCTACTGGGCCCCTCGGCTGCACACCCCTTATTGCCTCTCAGAAGCCCCAGCTTCTTGCCCCAGCTACCCTCCTGTTCTAGCACTTGCCAGTATCAGGCTAGCCTGGATCTGAGACTCTTTGGTAGCTCTAGAAGGATGGCTACATTTGACAGAGCTTAATCGCTTCGAATTTGCCTGATTGTGCAGGGCTGTCCCTGAGAACGCGTCCTACCTGGATGACAGAACCAGAGCTGTGGGCCCTGGAAGGGCACATGAGCTGTGATTGTGAGGGAGCCCAGTCCCCACCCACAGGCTGAGGAGAGCTGGTTAGGTGCCATGAGTTACCGCTTCTGCAGCACAGTGACAAACTCATTGAGCCGGTCCCGCTCCACCTCAGCAGCCTGCCAAAGTGCTTTCATTTCTGCAGCTTGAGCCTGCCAGCCTTTTTGTTCTGGGGAGTCCGAGAACCTGCAGCCAGAGTGGAGTGCAGAGGGCAAAGGTCATGTGAAGTTCAAAGACATAACATATCCTCATACAACGGCAGGAGGGACTGGGAAATTCAGAGGTTCTGAGATGGTTGGAGGGGAGGAAGACACAGCCACCATGCCTGGCTCTGTCTATCAGGATGTGGCTTCTGGGGCCTGGTTCCCTGCCAGAGTCAAGTGGCTTCCCTTGGCTGATGGTCCCTGAACTATTCAGTGTCTGGCCTGAAGTGTCACGGGTACTTCCTGGGAGACGTTGCCCAGCGATAGGCCATCTTGCTTTATAGCTACATGGTAAACCTCAAGTGAAAGTAGGCCCACTGGAGGCTTGGTCTGCATCCTGAGCTGACCTGCATGTGGGGAGGGGTGAGTGACAGCAGGATCTCCAGTGGACAGTGGGTAGGATTCGGGCAAGACAAGCCATCCTTTGTCTATGAGCCCACAAGAAGAACAAAGGGTGCATTTAAGCCCTGAGTCTGGTTATAGCCACAAAGGAGGGGCTGGAGAGCTGAGGGGATATCAGTGACTTAGTGTGAGGACCCACATGATGTGGGGTGCTCCCTCTGGAGAAGGCCTCTCAGTGGATAAGACAAGGCTAGGTGGGGGCTAGGCCAGAAACCTCATGCTGACTCCCCAGCCTAGCAGTCAGGGCCAAGCTCGGGCTCTGAAGCTGTTTACTCTATCAGGTGGCCCCACCACCAGCCTCTCTAGCTTACATAACCCAGGAGGAATGTTGGTACTTTGCCTAGCCTCAGGCCTCCATCCTTGAAATGGCCTGAGGAGGCTGAGCAAGAGACCGTAGTAAACTCTGAGAGCTAAGGGACTCTGTATTCCTACCTGGGTGAGGTCCCATGGGGACTAGGCAGGGATGGTCTTGTGAGGGCAGATTCCACAAGTGTATGGCCCAGGCTGGTCACAGAGCTATGAGGAGGCAGAAGGAGCATCAGCAGGGGAGGATGGATTGGTTGCCCGTCCTTACTCACGATAAAACAGAACCCCCAGCAGTCCACAGCAGTGAGTCTGAGACCTATGAGTAAATGTGCCTTGAGGCTGCAAAGAGGCCGTCAGCCGGGGCTTCAAGTGAGGGCACCCATGCTGACAGCCCCCTCCTGCCATGAAGAGCCAATAGGAGAAGGTTTCAAATAGAACAGCAGCAGGGCAGCCATCTTAAAACACTGTGTGTGTGTGTGTGTGTGTGTGTGTGTGTGTGATGTGTATGATGTATGTGGTGTGTGTGGTGTGTGTGCATGTGTGTATGTGTGATGTGTGAATGTGACTGTGTGGCATATGTGTGTGACATGTAGTGTGTGTGGTATGTGTGTATGTGTGGTGTGTATATATGTATGCATGTGTATGGTGTGCATATGTATGGTATGTGTGCATGTGTGTGGTGTGCCTATGTGTGATGTGTGTGAATGTGTGTGGTGTATGTGTGTGTTGTATGTGTATGTGGTGTATGTGCATGTGTGTATGTATGGTGTGTGACTGTCTGTGTGGCATATGTGACATGCAGTATCTGTGGTATATGTATGTGTGTGGTTTATGTCTGTGATGTGTGTACATATGTGGTATCTGCATGTATGTGGTGTGTGTATGTGTGTGGCGTGTACATGTGGTGTGTGTATGTAGTATATGTGTGTGGTTATGTGTAGTGTTTGCATGTGTGTGGTATGTGTATATGTGTGGTGTTTGCATGTATGTGGTATGTGTATATGTGTATATGTGTGGCGTGTGTGGTATGTGTGAATGTGCATGGTGTATATGTATATTGTGGTATGTGTGCATGTGTGTGGTGTGTGCATGTGTGGGGTGTGTGTGTATTGTGTGTGCATGTGTTCAGGCAGGAGGATCAGGAGCTCAGAGTCACTCTTGGCTATATCTCAAATTTAAGGCCAGCCTGGGACACTTGATCTCTGTGTGGAAAAACAAAAAGGCCAGAGATAGTGGCATATGACCTAATCCCAGCACTTGGGAGATAGAGGCAGGAGGATCTCTGTGAGTTCAAGGCCAGCCAGGGTTACATAGCGAGGTCCTGTCTCAAAATAAATAAAACAAAACAAAATTGCACTCAGGGGCTTTCCCGAAGAGGAAGTGGGGATACTGCTTCTCTGGATAGTACACAAGTCCTCACAGTCCCTCCCTCCATCCTGTGTTCTCCTTACCGGGAAGTTCCGAGCCTGCTGACATGATCGCCTGCTGATGCTGGAGAGTTGGTTATTGGGGTCTGGTCCTCAGGGAACCTGGCATCGGTGGGGCTGGCCCCCTCACCCCCTCCTTTACCGTGAAGATACTGCAGGAAACAGATGTGGGTTGGATGTCAGAGCATTGGTGCAGAGGCCAGGGGAAGGCCGCAGAGCGCCTTGGCTAGTTTCCAGCTCCAGGAGTTTGAAAGAAGCCTCTCTTCAGGGCGAATGCTGGCCTGGGCAGCAAAGACACAGCTTGCATAACAAAGACATCACACAATGCCTCTGTTCAGAAGGAGGCTGCAGAGAGAGACCAGTGTAGGCCAGGGCCATGGGGAGACATGGGGACAGTGCAGGCCAGTGCCATAGAGAGGTAGGAGCTGACATCTGTGAGGGCCTGCTCTCTAGGTAGCCCCGCACATGGTGTGACTAGAGGGCAGTACTAACACCTAAACACCAGATGCCTGCAGGGCCAGTGGCTATGTGAAACAGGGCTTCCCAAACTCCAGTCCTTTAGCTCCTCCCTCTCTTGGGTACCAGAAGATCCTTAGCAGAAGGTTAGGCTATCATCAAAGGACAGCAGTGAGTATGGCTTCTAACAGCTTGGCATGGACTGTCCCCAGGGATTCTTAGAAAACTGGAATACTGGAATGTAAGATTGCACTGGCTGAGTGGAGCATCCCCCCCCCCCCCATAGCTCCCAATCTTGAGGTAGAATCTGCCCTCTTTTGGGTGGTGGACCAAGGACAGAGTGAGGTAATGATGACAGGGTCCTCCACGCACTCCTCCCCAGGCTACTAGGGCTGAAGACAGCCAGGTGGTGTCCCCCAACCGCCTGACACCCAGGCCTCTCCCTCAGCCACTCCTGTGGTCTCAGGCACTCTGGACACAGCAGAGCGGACAGTCAGTGCCAGCCTGAGCTGGAAGAGGCCAGGGGCTCTCGAAGGAAACAGGGCAAGGCTAATGCCGTAAAACATCATCACCAGGAGAAGTCTACAGGGAGAAGGTTTTGCTGTCCCTGGGAGCACCCTGTAGGAGGAGTCCCGAAAGGTACCTGACTGTAAGCAGCCCTGAGCAGGCTCCCAAGTCCTACCTTAGACACTGGAGTGTGTGGCCTCACAGCAGGCACCAAGGCCCTGTAGCCTGTGCCTTTTGAGGGGAGTTCAGGGGAAAACATGGGTCCGTGTGTGAGGAGAGATTGATTAGCTTGGGGAGACCTGGAAGCTAAGAGAGGCCCAAGGCCCAGCACAGGGTTCCTGGAGGCGCTCATGGCCATTTGCATCCTAAGGGGGAGAAAGGGGGGACAGTGTGCAAGGCCATTTTGAGGGAGGGGTGACAGCACAGGAAGGGGAGGTCTGTGGGAAGACTCAGGAGAGATGGTAAGAGCTGGAACGTATGCTGGGATCTGAATGAAAGGTGGTCAGAGTGAACGCTCAAGTGCAAAGGTCTGAGCAGGGACTGGGGAGGGGACAACTGAAACCAAGGGTTATGAAAAAGCCAGACAGAAATGCTATTTTGTAAGCTAATTAAAAATATAATAATAAAGAATTTTTAAAAAGGCTGCATGAGTGGCTATAGAGTCCACAGGCCATACACGGAAACCACAGTGCCAGGCAGGTGCCAACAGCATTGCTGTTATCAGTAACCGCTCTTAGCTGTCTACCATAATTAGCTGGTAAGATCCAACTGATGAAGACACCACACACTGGTTACAGGACACAGGGAGTCTCACAGCTGGAGAAAAGCTGGGAGCACCCACTCTGCTGGCTAGCTTTCATGGTGCCAGACAGTGATATGGACGTTGCTGGAGAACAGTCATCAAAGGTCATACCTAGTTGTCATCCCTGTAAGATACGACAGCAGCCTGCCAGACAAGATACACCCCTGGTGCACCAGCGGCGTGACCCTTACTGAGGAGCCGATGGCTTTATGGCTGGACCTGAGATCGGACCCACAGACTACAATCTGTGCTGATACAGTGAACATGGGCGGAGCCTATGGCTGGGGAGGTCACAGGCCACAGGAAGGGATCTTTTGCTGTTGGTTTGCTCCATGATATCCTAAGTGTGCTGTTATACCCATAGGTTAGCGCTGGTTTCAGCCTTGGTCAGAGAAGCTTCTGCTGGCGGTGGGTGACAGTTACATAGTCACAGGAACTTATGACTGGTCAGAGTGTTGAGAATAAGTGACCGAGTGTTTAAGGGACAGAGGAGTGAACAGAGGATGGAAGGGAAGCGGTGGAACACTGTTTTCTAGACATGGCTGTTGCATGCATGCACTCCTAGCAGCTGTGGGGCCTAGACAAGGCCCACACAAACGTGGGGCCTGTTAACATTCCAACATGGGGAGGGGAGGGGCTCCTAAGACTACACCCTCTGAGGAACTCCTGACAGCCAATGGGTGCTGGGGGCACCCACTTTCTTCATGGTGCACCCAACTGCTAAGTTGCCCATGCTCCAGTTACTAACCCCCTGGCACACTAACACAACTCTAATTAAACTCAGCCACACACACACACACACACACACACACATACACACACACACACACACACACACACACACACACACACGACATGGAAGCAAGAGGAGAACCTGTGAGGAAGGAGGAGTCAGGGGATCAGAGGGAGGGGGTTGGGAGGGTGGGAGAGGTGGGATTGGGTAATGGGGGTGTGAAAATGACCCAGATATCATGTATACATGTATGACATTGTCAAAGATTTTAAATGTTTTAATAAAGGAAAGTGTGGCCTTCCTACTGACTGCAGCGTGCCCACCGTGGCTGGGGCGACAGCCACCACATGGATCATCAAGATGAGGGCCACAGCTGCAGGTGGGAAAGGGTGAGCTGGCAGGAGTCTGGATCCTCTTGACCTTGGTAAAGCTGACAGGACAGGGTGACAAGAAAGGTGACAGGAAGCCAGGTGGCTTCTAAGCTGAGCAAGGACATGACCAGGTTGGTGCTTTAGACAGGATCAGTCCTGCTCGGGGTGGTGTGGCCATGGATGGACTTGTGTTTCAGGAAGGACAGTGTGTACAGACCGGAAGGAAGGCTGCCGGACACAGCTGCTCCCATGGAGCTGGGAGGATGCAGTGGCCCATGCTGAAGTGACCATGGCGAGTGGAAGGCTGTGTGGGCACTGGCATGCTGGCCCGGGGGCACCCAGCTCACCTGGCCACTGAGCTGCCCGATCTCTAGCTCCAGCTGCCGCACCTTGGACTCTCGATCAGCCACCATGGCCCGCAGCTGGGCAACAAGGCTGCTGCTCTGCTGGGCCTCACTGTTGACCTTCTGGTCCAGTTGCTGTTGAGAGGTGCGTCTCGATTCTTCTTGCACACTCAGGCTGCCCAGAATGTCCTGCAGCTGCTTTAGCTGGTCCTGAGGGCCAAGCCAGAGGGCAGTTATAGGTAGGTTTGGGCTACTTAGGGCAAGGAAGGATAGGGACCATTTACTTTCCCCCAGAGCCATCCAACTTTGCCTAGGCCAAGAAGACTTTAGCAAGAGACTCTAGCCATCCCTCTGAGAACCAGGGATACCTTCGCTGAGGGATGAAAGGCTCAACTCTGATCCCTTCTGGGATCAGATTCCTTCCTGGGAAATTGGGGCCAAGAAGGCTGTGCTGGGAAAAGGGGCTCTTCAGGTACCAGAAGGAGCTCAGTGGGCGGGTGTCTAGCTGGTGGGAAGACATGTGAACACAAAGGCCTGAACCAGTTTCTGGATCTAGTCCATCTCACAAGGAGTCTGTCAGCACCTAACTTGAGGCCCAGTCCCTTGAACATGTCCCCAGAGAGAGTCTAAGGACAGAGGCTTTCTGCTTTGGGGCAAAAAGAAAGGACAGCGTGATTTGGGGCAGGAGAAGGCAGCTGTTTTTACCTCAGGAGAACAAGGAGGCTCAGCACACATGAAGCACAGGGCCATCAGTGAGATGTCCACAGAGGCAGGCCTGCCCTGAAGTCTGCTTGCTCCCTAGAGGTACACCCTGTCTCGCCCACATCTCCACGGGGGTCCCAGTGCCAAGGGGACCAGGGTCATAGCTATCTCCCTCAGGCACTCGGGGTGACTGTTTAGGAAGCACATCTGGGGTGTCTCAGCTCCCCCGCCTTGCATACCATAAGGGCATCAATGAGTTCATCATCATGCTTGCCCTTCTCCACTAGGGTCACCATCTGGCTCCTGAGGGTCTTCACCTCGCTGGACAGCACCTTGTTGCGAGACCGCATGCCCTCGAACTTCCTTTTCAGCTCCTCCAGCTCTGTCTGGAGGCTGTCCCGCTCACTGGCCAGTTTCTGTAATTAGAAGACGAGAGCTGAGGGCCAGCCTATGATCATAGCCCAGGCACCCTGGATCTCACTCTCTGGGGAGACTCAGGGTTGGGGGAGCAGTTGTTGAAGGGTACAGGAGGTAGTGATGGAGCCAGGGCCCTGACCTCTGGCAGGCCCAGCTCCCCGATTTCCTGAGGCACTTGGTATATAGCTCTACAGGATGGGACGGGTCAGCAGCACAGCACCCTTCCTGCTTTACAGCATGAACATCAGGGCTGGCAAAATGGCTCGGCAGATAAGGACCTGAGCTACGTCTCTGGGACCTACACAGGAGTGGGAAATGACGCCTGCAATTGTCTTCTGGCCCCTACATGCATGTGGGCATGCACATGCACATGCGCGTGTGTGAGCGCGCGCACACACACACACACACACACAGGACATAACTAGAACTGGCTGCACTGTCCATCTAACCCAGTTTTTAATCTAAATGGCTTGTGTCCACTTAACTTGTGCTTTATTGTTCCTAATAGAAACACAGTGCTGCTGGGGGCGACTACTGGCCTCTTCCCATTTAAACCTGCTCACTGAGGGAGCACTCGGTAAGCCAGCCAGCAGGCTTCTGTGACATCCCTACTGTGTGGGATGCGGATGCCCTCTGCATTGTACACGGGGCTCTAACCACGATAAGCTACAAGCTCATATGTTGCGCACATTTTCAGAGCCTCTCATTCCTTTCTTCATTCTTATATTTTCTGAGGGCCTACTATGTGTCTGGGATTGTGACATGCTCCAGTAAAGCAGAGAGAAAAACAGTATTTGTTCCTAAGGAGAGACACCCAAGCAGGGGACAGACAGGGGAGGGGACACAACAGAATATAGTCTGAGGAGGACTTCCTAAAAAGGCAACAACTGAGGGCCCTGGGGAGCTGCTGAGAAGAGCAAAGGTCCTGCGTGCTGGAGGTCAAGAGGGGCTGATAGAGGCAAGGGTGGAGCACAGTCCAGTCACCGACTCACACTCCGTTCTAGCACCTTCTCATGGAGCGGGGAGTCGTCAGTCTTCACACACATCTTTCCCATGCCTCCCTTCCCCGTCCATCCATCTGTCTGTCTCAGTCATCCCAGCCTGCCCTTGTTAGTTCCTTACCTTGGTGTTCATCCTTGGTCACATCTCAAGGACTGTCACCTCTGCTTCTCACATCTCCCCCTCCCTTTCTCCCAAACCATGGTACTTGTCCTAAGATCAGGGGACCATGTCTCTCCACAGCTAAAGCACCTTGGTGATTAGGCTGGTACACAAGGCGCAGGAGCCTGAAGGAGGCCATGAGGAGGCTCCTGACACCCCTGGCCTGGAGCTTGGCACACGCACTTGCAGATGAAGTCTCCCAGTGGGCAGGTATGGAAGGCCTCACTGTTGGAAGCCTGTGTCAGGTGCTGAGGACCAGAGACAGCTCCCATTCGACTCCCAGTCAGCAGGGAAGGCACACCTGAGGTACTGGCCCGCCCCTCCGCTCACAGCCTCAGGACAGTTTCTTTAGGTTTCACCCATTCCACTATTGGGGATGTGATCAGGGTGAAGGTTCACCATCACTGTCAAGGTGTCTGAATTTGGAATCACCTAGGAGACACACCCCTGGGCATGCCCTAGGGTTATTTCCAGAGAAGAAAAGACCCACTCTGATGGGTAGCACATCCCACTGGCTAGGGACCAGACTGAATAAAAAGGAGAAAAATGAAGCCACCACACACTGGCATTCATTTCTCAGGCTCCCATTCCTTCCACACTTGTCCTCCTGACAGGATAGATTCCCCTCAAACAGAGAGCTGAGAACAACCCTTCCTTCCTCAAGTTAGTTTTCTCACAACAGGGACAATGACCAAGACACCTACACATTTTCTTTACAGGAAGTTTTACACATAGCTCCTCTCAAACTGCCATAGTTAGACGACCATCTAGCATTCACTGAATGGACCCAGGGTGAGGTCCCACCCAGGCAGCTCAAACTGGTTAACAAGCAGTGAGGCCCAAGGCCCCCGTGTCTGTGGCCTGTAAGGGACAGCACATCCTTATGAGTGTGGTGAATCTCCCATCCCTGTGCTGAAGCCCGCGGCCGGGCATGCCTCACCTCCCAGCTCTCCTGCTTGTCTCTCTCCAGGCAGCGGATCCGCAGGAGGTTTTTCTCCTGTGCTGTCATCTTCCTTGGATCTGAACTGAGAGGCAGCTCAGAGCTCAATGGGCCTGCAGGCTTGTTCTGCCGCTGTTCCAGTTGCTTCTCAAGATCTCGGACCTAAGGGCAGGAAAGCTGGCTGTCCCACCAGTCTACAGCCATGGGTCCTGCCACCTAGGTGCCATGGAAGACTGTACTGGGCTTAAGATGGAGCCACCCTTCCAGAGTGGGCACAGAATGGGTACAGGCTAGGAAGATGTTAGGCAAATGGAGAAGCCATCTAAGGGGCTTAGTTTAGAAGAGATGGTTCTGGGTCAGTGAGACAGCCCCTTCCTCGTGACTGTGCCCAGCCAGGCTCCTTGTACCCACTGACTGTCAATGCCCTCACAGGAAAATGGGCCTGCCTGAGGGTACAGTCCTGCCTTGAGGATTCAGCACCCAACCCCCCTGACCCTGCATGCCTCCAAGATGAGGGACTGGGAGCAGGAAGGGCCTGGAAGCTATATTTTAACAAAAGCCATAGGTGATTCTTTTGAAGGAAATGTTTTGTTTTTATTATAAATATTCTCATAGTCATTGTACAAACAGTGGGTTTGGTTTCTCTGTGATGTTTCCTAACATCTGTAACCTTGTTTGAGCCACACCCACTCTTTTCCGCCCCTGGTTTTCTTCTTCTTATTGTCTCTCTCTTTCAGGTCAATTTAAAAAATTCTCTATGAGAAAAAAAACATAAAATATTTGTCTCTTTGAGTGTGGCTCATTTTACTTAACACAGTGATATCCAAGCCCTAGTCAGTTTCCTGCAAATACGCTCTTGTTTTTGACTTATGGCTAAAATACCACAGTTCACACACACATTCTCTCCCACCACGTGCCAACAGTCTGTACTTTACATACTGATGGGCACCCAGGCTGAGAGCATATAGTAGTCAGGCATCTCTGGGACCCTCTGTGCTGACCAGACGTCTCTCGGCATATATCCAGGGGTGGCATCTCTGGGACCCTCTGTGCTGGCCAGACGTCTCTCGGCATATATCCAGGGGTGGCAGAGCTGGTTCAGTGGAAGCTCTGCCTTCAGTCCTCTCAAGATCCCCACTCTCACCTCCACAGCAGCCACACCAGGCTGAGTCCTCTGTGCCCACACCCTCTCTCCTCACTGAGACATGCTGCTCATGACAGCAGTGTCCAGAAGAGAGGGAATCTTAGTGTGTCCTTACCCTAACGCCCAAGGATGCTGACTACTAACAGGTGGCCTGCCTGTAATCCAGCACTTGAGACACAGAGACAGGGGAGTCCTGGAGCTCTGGGTTTAGGAGAGACACTGCTTCATGTCTACCCTGGCCTCTTCACATATGCACACATGTGTGCACACACACAAATATATACATTTGGTAACCATTTTCATTTCTTCTCTTCAGAAGTGTATGTGGAATTTGAGTATTTAAAATTTGAGTTGCTTGTTCTTTTGCTAAGGTTTTAGAGTTCTTTATATCCTCTGATTATCAATCTTCAGAGCGACTGGTGGCAAAGACTGCCTGTGCAGCAGGTCTGGTCACTCTGCAGGGTGTTTCCGTCACTGATCCTTTTAGATTAATGTGGTCCTATCAACTCTTGCCCTGTGTCCCAGCACTGGATCCTATTCAGAGGTCTGTGCTCCTTTCCTACAGCATTTCTAGGGTTTGGGCCTAACCCTGAGGCTTGTGATCCAGTCCGAGCTGATATTTCTCAGGGAGAGAGGTAGCGCTCTTGGTTTATGCTAAGTAAATGCCCAGCTTTCTCAGAACTGTGCTACATGCTAAAGGTGGCCTTTTCTCTAGTATTTCTTACACCACTGCCAAGAATCAGATGAGATCAGACATGTTCATGGTGGTATGGAAGTAGGTAAGTCAGTCAACACTCAGCTTAATGATAGAAATGGTGGATTTGGTGAGGCTGGTATGTGCTGGGTGCTTAATGGTAAGGAGACTTGAGCTCACATCTCTAGGGTCCCAAACTTTTGGGGGATGTTGTTTCCCTTCATGCTGGCTTCAAGGATTCCATGGACAACCCTAATTAAAAAGGCACCCAGAAGGGTGTAGACTTGATCCCGGGGGATGCAGGTGGCATGCTCAAGGAATTCAGGGAATCACACATCTTCCAGAAGCTTCTCAGTCTAAAGGCAAAATGAGGGTGGTGGTGGAAGTGGGGTGGTAAGCCTGGGCTAACCTGTCTAGTGCTCTTTCCCGGATGGCTCTATGCTGAGGAATCCCACCCCTAAACATGCTGATACAATCATTCTTGCCAACAGCCCAAGGTTTCGGGGGCGGGGGAAGCACAAGTGTTGTTATCCCCATTACACAGATGCAGAAACTGAGGCACAGAGAGTAATTTGTGCACCAGTCCACAGGTGGTGAAGAGATTGCTGGAGTCTAAACTCAAGCCAGTCAGCTTTGGAACTGCTTCTCTTAACTACCTTTGGTGTGTGCCAAAATACTTAGAAAATAAAGAGGCAGACCAGGCTGTTTTACTGGCTAACAAAAAGTTTCTGGTATGAAACTGGAAAAAGGATTACAGTAGTCACGCAAACTTACGTGAACTCAGGCAATCATGCCTGCAGAGACAGAAATGAAACTCACGGCTGTGGGGCTGGTTAAGCGCCAGGACTGGGCATGTGAAAAGTGTTATGTAAGAGCGCGTGCAGGAATAAATAAACAAAAATCAGCTTGGGGGCGGGTAAACCCCGCTATGCCGCAAGAGGATGCGTGGAACCCACGGCCTGCGCCAGTGCTGTGTGCTCGAGGGTCAGTGAGGGCCAGGACTCATCTGCTGACTCACTCACCTTGCTCTGCAAAACTAGAATTTGTTGAGCCCTTCCCCTCCAGGTCCCCGGTGAGGCCAGGAGCTGCTGGATGTTCACGTCGTCCCCAACTTCATTGGCCAGAACCTGAAACAAAGCCGGGTGCTCAGTGTAGACAGTGAAGAGGGTGTCCAGGCCTTTCCTGTCCTCACTGCATGGCTCTCAGAGGCAGTGCTGGGGTGGGACCCCTGATGGTCATGGCTTTATCTGTGTGACCTTCCTCCTACCTCAGAGCTCAGCTGTCAAAGGTCCAGATCTGCTATGCCTGGGGAGGCAGTGAGCCCATTGTCACAGCCCTTCTCTGGGACACTCCAGCACTGTCCTGCTCACCAGTCCTTGTCTCCTTGCATGACTTGCCGGGGACCACAGAATTCTGGAGGGCTCAGGGGGCATGCTGTATGCCACAGGACCTGGCCTCCTATGATAGCCTCTGCCAAGTGATCCTTGTAAGCACAGAGAAGTCAACTGAGGCTGCTGTGCTTCAGGAAGACCTGACCCTGTGGCCACCAAAGCTGAAGCTAGGCTGACCTCAAGGCTCTGAGGTGGAAATAATACCCTCCGTATGTCAGCACGATGATCACCATCCAGCAGGACAAGTCTCTGGCCCTTGTTTCCACAATAGAACACTGTTCTGTAATTCTTGGCCAGTCTGAGTAGTTCCAGCAAGGAGGGCAGATGCCAAATTCACTATGGTAATCCAACACCCTGGAACCGAGCATTTTCCTTTGAAAGGGGCCTTCAGTGCCCAAACTCCCTGTCTCTATGCTGCAGGTCACAGGTGTGAGGCAGCAGGTGGGCCAGGCAGCCTTTTGAGTCACAGGTAAGGCAACACACTGAGGGGAAGCCCAGGGTCTACCAGGGCACAGGGCAGCGGCAAGGGGAGGTACAGAGAAGGCTCCCAGGCCTCTCCTTGGTGGGCAGAGCTAATCTCCTCAGTCCATAGGCAGATACCAGGGAGTGGGCAGCCCTTCCAGGAAGATGGCCACCCCATACCCCAGACAGGGCTGACCCAGCACAAGCAGGACTAAGCACCCCTGCTTTGGACAAGAAGCCAGTGGGTCATGGGGGTTTTCCTAGGACCAACCCTGGCCACACAAGAAGTCCCACACCCCGACTGTAGGAGACCTTCTGGGCTACACGGAGCTCCTGCTTCGTAGACTGGATCTGGTTGCGCAGGTCACTCATCTTCAGGTTGGTGGCTGCCAGCCTGTCCTGCAGAGCCTTCACCTCTGGGGTCTCCAGCTGGTTGGGAAGGACAGGGAGACAGGGGTCACTTGTGGCCTAAATATGAATGACTGTCAGGGCTACTATTTACCTATGTGTGCTCCAGACACTGGGCAAGGGTTGTAGTCTCAGAAACCCCAGCTACTTGAGATGCAAAGCAGAGGCGGGTGGGAGCTAAGTCTTCAGGGCCTGGACCATCTGGCTAGTCTAGGACCAAGAGCATGGACTGAGTCTGGACAGCCCGGCTTCAGGGCTGAGTTCTCTGCTCTCTGTGTTACACTTACATGTGTGGTCACATGCATGGCTGCAGCGGGGGCATATAGTGGAGGCAGCAAGTGCCACACCTCCCAGACACTCCTTGGGCATGGCCACTCTCTGCGGAGCTAAGAGCACCCTCTTTCCACCTGCAGAAAACCACACTAACTCAGCAGGCACTCTCTGATTCCCCAACTCTGGAACTCATCTTCTGGATTTGGGGTTGTCAGCACAGGCTATGACTCTGCCAACGGAAGTGTGCGCTGCCTGTTTGCTTGGATGGAAATGAGGACCAGGTCCAGTCCCTAAGTGTCCCATCTCACCAGAAAGACACATGCTTGGACTCAGTGTCTGCTTGTGTCTTCTCTCCTTAAAACTCATCTAAGCTGGGCTGGAGAGATGGCTCAGTGGTTCGGAGCACTGACTGCTCTTCCTGAGTTCAATTCCCAGCAACCAATGGTGGCTCACAACCATTGTAATGTTGTCTCCTCTGGTATATCTGATAACAGTTACAGTATACTCACATAAATAAATAAATAAATAAATAAATAAATAAATAAATCTAAAAAACATCATCTGAGCTGGGTGTGGTGGCACACACCTTTGATCCCAGCACTTGGGAGGCAGAGGCAGGCAGATCTCTGTGAATTCAAGGCCAGGCTGGTCTACAGAGTGAGTTCCAGGCCAGCAGGGGCCACACAGAGAGACACGGTCTTAATGATGGTGATGGTGATACGATGTTTAAGGCAACTGTTGGACTGTTATACTGCCTGTCTCTCTGTCTCAGATATCCCTGGGACCTCCATGATCAAACTATTCCAGCTCCTTCCATCAGAGATAAAAGTCAAGTTCTAGAGAAGAGCAGAGCTGCCCTGGAATGCATGGGGTTGGGATGGCACAGTGGGATTAGAACCCTGGTCCTTCAGTCTCCCAATCTGAGCTTCTGCTGCCAATGGTGTTATAGATTGTCATAGTAACAGTGAGGTTGGCTAGCAAGCTAAGTACTCACCAGGCCTTGCTGAGACCCCTGTTCCTGCCCCCAGTGGACCAGGGGCCTGGGCTTTGGGGAATAGGGTGGCCATGATGGGGGCTTTTGAATCTTTATTTTTTTAGTGGAACAAACAGAAACTCCTATAAATGCTAGTGTGAAAGACAGGCTCAACAGACAAAGTCCAGGAAGTTCATGGAACTTGGAACGCCCTACTGTAAAGCAGTGATCATAGAAACTCAACCTGGACATGTGGTCCAGAAGTCCTGGCTGCGTTTAACACCACTGGCAGGATAGAAGTCAAAGATCAATGTAAACAATATTTGCAGAATGAAGAATTCCACAAAATGCAAGTAGATCTTTGAAAACCTACTCATTTTCCTAAGCTCTGCCCATGCGGCTGCCTGAGTCCTGCCCGTGCGGCTGCCTGAGTCCTGCCTGTGCGGCTGCCTGAGTCCTGCCCATGCGGCTGCCTGAGTCCTGCCCGTGCAGCTGCCTGAGTCCTGCCCGTGCAGCTGCCTGAGTCCTGCCCGTGCGGCTGCCTGCTGCCCTTTTCTGCTGCTAGGCATCTGCCTTCTTTGCTAATGTGTAGCTTTAAGTCTGCCCTGGGCTAAGAAGCTACACCCTCTTCTGGTGCTCAGAGCTTCCTGTCATGAACAGTCATGAATGTCATGAGCCCTGGCAGCCCTGTTTAGAGCACTGCAGAGTACATTAGCACCCCTGTGGCACTGTGATCCAGAGCCAGGCTGTGATGCCCACTCCTAGCCTCAGCTCCTCATCCGCAGACAGAGGAACTTAATGGGAGGTATCCCAAGGGCACTGCCTAGGGCAGGCTCAGGAGGTGGGAAAGGCCCCTTGCCTTGGGAGTGTAGTTGACAGGGACTAAAGCCATATGGCATTCTGGAGAGGCCTAGCAGCTGGGCCCACTCTCCCTCCCAGCCATCAGAGGCTTTGGGGAGGTGGGGCTATGTGCCAGCCTGATCCCCCACTGCAGGCTGTTTCCTTTGAAGGACAGCTACAGAGCCCTGGGAACAGGCTTTTCCGACTGCTCACAGCATAGCCTCCTGAAGTCTCTTGCCTTCCCTGCACTCTGGAATGTGCTTCAGAGGAGACTGGGGCCAGGCCTCTAGAGTGCAGCTGCCCCTTGAAGTCCAGTGATGCAGACAAGATTTTGTCCTGATTCTGAGCAGAATATACCAGGGAAAGGACCTGGTCTGGCTAAGACGAGAGCTGTAGACTGGCACACTCTTCTATCAGAGACCCTGCTTTTGTAGCTGGTTACAGAGTGCATCTGAGACTCCTGCTCTTGTAGCTGGTTACAGAATGCAGCTGAGACGCCTGCTCCAGTGGCCCAGGAGCCCCTCCCTGGGCTCCCCTGTCCTTGATTTATGTTGGCTCATGTCCTTTTCCTGCTTGTGAGCTCTGGGCTCAAACTAAGTGCTATGCAACTGAGACCCGAGTGAGCTGACTGCAGAATGTTCTGGTTCCCCGGCCTCTATGCCTTGAAGGCACTGTTTCTCCTGCTAGGCTCACCACCTACTTCACCAGAGAAGAGTACACGGATAGCTCCTACACCAGCTTCTCAGATGCAGGGCGAGCTTCTGTTGCCAGCTCAGGCTAGCCTGTTTCTGAAGGCCCATTACACCCTCCTGTACATGGCTACTCCTTTTCTTCTTAGAACCCTCTATGGACCAAGGTTATGAATCCCTGTGTGGCAAGGCAGATAGATAATCCTAGCAGGCTAACAAGGCACTCAACAGTTCCTCAACCAGGGTAACTCAAGTCAAGGGACCTCACTGGTTTGGATAAATCAAGAACATCTTGGCAGTATTCCTCACCAGGAAGGGTTGTGAAGAACATTGCCCACTAAGAACACTGTGGCTGCCTCCCTAGCAAGAAGACTGGTTCATACACCCATTCCTGCATCCCAAAGAGGCCCATCACTGCACACCCAGGACTAAATTCCTCTTAAGAGCAGCAAGCAGTGGCCTGATCCTGAGGCACGGACAAGAGGCAACATGGAATAGGAGCAGCACTGAGCTGGGGGTTTCAGGGCTTGGCTGCCTGTCACAGTTGATCTGGCTTCTTGAGAAAACCCTGGAACAGCTGCTGGGACACTTGGTAGACTGGTGCAGGTTAGCCTGACTTGGGTTCTGCATTCCTGGCAACCCATCTATGGGCGCTTACCTTTCTCTCATAAAGCCACAGTCACATTGCTGACATTTTGTGGCATGTTCACTAGCTACAAAATAAGGTCTGAGGGGCAGATCTGTAAGGCCACAGTGCTGCACGGGGGTACAGTGCTCTCAGGAGACCAGGAGACGGATGGCTCTGTCACTACAGTGCAAGCATGAGGGTCTGAATTCAGTCCTAGTACCACATAAACAGCTGGCATGATGCCAAGCACTTGTAATGCCAATGCCAGGGAGGAGGGACAGAGGATCCAGTCGAATACAGCTAAACACCTCAAGCCAGCCTGTACTAAGTGGTGAGCTTGGAACCAAAGAGAGACCCTGTGTCAAAGGAGTAGATGGTGTTATTGATGACCCATGAGATTGTCCTTTGTCTTCTCCATGTAAGAATGCACAGGTGCATCTCACATGCCTGTACATAAACACACACGCACACACACACACACAAATTGAAGGGAAAAGAAAGAAGTACTCTGGGCAGCCAGGAGCTAGCTTGTCTCCAGGGCAGGGAGTAGTGGGTGTCGCCCTGTGATGAAACTGCAGCAGAGATGACCAGCCTGGGAGCAGGCATCTAAGTGGACCAGCCTTCCCTCCTGGTCTGTGCTCCCAGGGCTTAGAGGCCATAGCTCTCCAGTCCCCCACCCCCATGGAAAGTGGCTCACATCTGAGTCTTCCCTGGCCTCTGCCAGGCATCCTGGGCACAGGGCATAGACAGAGTCTGTTGCTTGGGGACTGCTCTGAGGCCACAATGGCAGAAAAGAACCCTTGGCTAGGGAATCATGGTAGAGTATCTGAGTGCACACTGGGGAGGGGAAGCCCAGGGCATGGCTACCTCACAGACTCAGCACACAGGAGCATACATACCAAGGCTCTGTCACCCGTCTGGGTCTTCAGTGGCTTAGCCCCTGCGTCAGTGGCCCCCTTGGCTGGTGGCTTGGCTGATGCCATCTGCAGCTGAAAAAGCGAACATGGTACTCATACTTGGTTCTGCCCAGCAGCTGCACAGCCAGCTGAAGCACTCAGTGCTGCTGGAGGGGTGGCCACCTGTCCTAGTGTCTGACTTCTTGGCTCACATGTGGACTACCACGGAATGCTCCTTTCCAAGCTACTTGTAACAGGAGACCTTGACTGATAACCAGCCCTATTTCCTCGTTGCTCCAGAAAGAGCAGCCCAAAGATCTGGTGAGACCACAATAAATAACCACAGCTCATCCTTACGCTCTAGGGTGGTTTGAATGAAAATGGCCCCAGAGACTCTTAGGAAATGGCACCACTGGGAGGTGCACTCTTGTGTGTCACTGGGGGTGAGCTTTGAGGTTTCTGAAGCTCAAACTAGGCCCAGGGTCACTTGCTCTTCCTGTTGTCTGTCAATCCAGCTGTAGAACTGTGAACTACTACCTCTACAGCACCATGCCTGCCTGCGTGCCACGATGCTTCCTGCCATGACAGTTGTCTTAGGGTTCTATTGCTGTGAAGAGACCCTATGACAATGGCAGCTCTTATAAAGGAAAGCATTTAATTGGGGCTGGCTATTGATTCACTTGGTAAATGTACATACACACGGCTGGCACACATAGGCCCCTAGATTGGATTTCCATTGTTGTCTTGGCAAGAAGTATGGTGGTGGGCTGGAGAGATGGCTCAGTGGTTGAGAGCACTGACTGCTCTTCCAAAGGCCCTGAGTTCAATTCCCAGTAACCACATGGTAGCTCCCAACCATCTGTAATGGGATCCAATGCTTTCTTCTGGTGTGTTTGAAGACAGCTACAGTGTACTCATATAAATAAAATAAATCTTTAAAAAAAGGAAGAAATATGGTGGCATGCAGGCAGACATGGTGCTGGAGAAGGAACAGAGTTCTACGTCTTGATCCCGCAGGCAGCAGGAGACCATAGCACACTGGGCATAGCTTGAGCATCTGCGACCTCAAAGCCCACCTCCTCAGTGACACACTTCCTCCAACAAGACCATACCTAATAGTGCCACTCTCTATGGCCAAGCATTCACACAGTTTGAATAGGAGCCATTCCTATTCAGACCACCACAATGATAGCAGAACTCTCAGCCTGGAAGGGAGAGACTAAAGGAACCATAGACTTTGGGTTACAGGTGAGACAGAGAGTGGCTACCACATGGGCACAGCCCTGTGACGGAGCATGCTGTAGGCAGCTACCCTTTAGTGACTTCTCATCTGTTCTTCATACATGGTGGTCAATCTGATTTGGGGCATGCCTCCCCCGTTGCATCCCTGACATCATCCCATTCAGGTTCGGACCATACTGATCTCCTGTGCTTTCTGCCATTCTGCACTATGAGCCTTTAGGTCCTTTGCATGGATGCTGCTCCCATGGTCTCTGGCTGGGCCTGCTGGACAAGCCCCTTCAAGCAGCCCCTGCCACTGTTGCCTGTCACAGTGTTGCTCCTTTTCCTTTGCCCTGGCTGTGTGTGCCACACTCCCACACGGCTCCATCTCCCAGGAGTGGAACCATGCCTACTCTACTCTCTCCAGCGAGCAGCACAGAACATGAGCCAGTTCTCTAGAAACACCTCCCAGAATGCCTAACTCTTCCTCAGTGGCAGCTGTGAGGACAGGGTGGGCCGTGCAGGGCTTCGGGACTTCGAACTCGGGAAAGGCTGCAAAGGCTCGCTCCAGCACCATTCCAACTCTTCAGAAACCAGAACCGCAGGGCTATGCCTGCTGAAGCAGACAGGTTTGTGGCTAGATGGGAGGGAGGGGACAGAACTCAGCATGTCACTGCTCCTGGCTGTAGCTTCAGTTGCACAGGGGTTTCTGGGAGCTGGCTAAGCACACTTATCTAGGGCTTTTGACATGCCAGGCTCTGTTCTACAGTTAAACACTGCATCTCTCAATTCTCAGGAAGTCTGTCAGCAGGGCCACCCCTGTGGGCCCCTGATGGATGGGGAACCAAGATAGGTGTGGGGCATGCGAACAGCTGCAGATGTCACAGTGAAGCTCTGTGTCCATCCCCTTAGCCACATCATGCCAGGCTTCTTCCCAATGGCCAGAATCCCCTAGCTGCCTGACGTACTTCCTCTCTCTGGATGTGGAAGAAACTGGGGGCCTCACTGCAAACAATTGTACCCTGTGACCTCCATAAGGACCCAAGGCCTCCAATGTGGCCTCTCTCTCTGGAGTCCACTCCCCAGGAAGAACAGCCAGGCCCTTACCTCGTGCTCCAGCTCCTGGATGCGATTGGTCAGCTGCTTTATCCTGACCTTTGCACTCTCCGACTCTGCCATCAGCCCCCGGTTCTTTTTGGACAGCTCAACAATTTTGGTGGCAACTAGATCTCCAGCCATCCCAGTCGTCCCTAAAATGAAAGAAATCACAAGGTCCATTAAAAATACAACCTGCACCTCAAATCTACATGGCAGTTCAGAGCATCGGCAGGTCCCAGGCAGACTATTGGATCAGAAGGCAGCTAGACGCAATGCCTATAATCCAAAGTCAGGAGCTGGAGGTAGGAGGATTGAAGTTCAAGGCCATTCTTAGCTACATAGGGAGCTCAGCCTGGGCTACATAAGACCCTGAAAAAAATCAGACAGCAGAATCTTAGTTCCACAGAGAGTCAGCTATGAACCTTAATGAGCAGGACACAGTCCCCTGACCTTTCTGTATCTACCTGATACCAGCTTTGGTCAGCAGACATAGTGCGGTAGACACTGTCCGGCTGGCTTCTTGCTTATGCCATCTCACAAGAATCTCCAGCCAAGTCCAGCTGGCTGGTTCCTAAAGAGGGACATGGGGAACAAAGTTGAGGCACCGTAGCCAAACTCCAAGAAGGTCCTGATGTGTGTACACATGCACATGCTGAGGTGTGCTGTATGTGTGTACACATGCACATGCTGTGTGCTGTATGTGTGTACACATGCACATGCTGAGGTGTGCTGTATGTGTGTACACATGCACATGCTGAGGTGTGCTGTATATGTGCTCACACATGCACATAGGTTCAGGTGTGTAGGGAAATCAGAGTCAACTGTGGGTGTTGCCCCTCAGGGTGCTGTCCACCTTTTTGGTTTTGAGACCCAGTCTCTCACTGGCCTGGACCAGTGCTGTACTGGCTGGCCAGGGAGCCAGAGCTCCACCTGCTTCCCCAGCATGGCATTACAAGTGCCACCACTCCTGGCTTTTCAAAGACATGATACTTGGGATCAGACCCAGATCTTTATGCTTGCAAGGCCAGAGTGCTAGGTCCCTCGCTCCAGTGAAAAGGTTCTTAGTGCTCAGTGTTGCCGAGGTCACATGGCTGGATGTTCAGTGGTAGTGACTCCGTAGGAGACAGAAACGTTTCCTGGAGAGCTCATGCTCCAGCAGGATCGACAGGCAATAAGAAGAATTACGGACGTGCTATCTGGGGGGAACATGTGCTCAGAATGAAGAGGGGTGAGTGTGCCAGGTGATGATATTTCAGACAGGAACAACCAGGGAGGGGCCTCTGGGAGAAGAGGAATCGTGAACAGTGGCCTAAGTTAATAAGAGGAAAGCATCCAGCCCAGAGGCAGTGTGGTAAGAGCTGGGAATGGGCTCTCAGCATAGGAAGCAGCCCATGTGAGCTGGGGTGGGAGGCCCATGGCCCGTCAGAGGAATGTGCAGGAGGCTGAGTGGCTGGAGGGTACCGGCAGTGGGCACGGGGAGGCGGGCAGTGGGCACGGGGAGGCGGGCAGCGGGCACGGGGAGGCGGGCATGTGCAGGGAAGATGAGTGCCAGCTGGAGCTCCATGGCGGGCAGACAGCAAGAGATTGTGTGGCCTGGCCTCTCTGTGCTGCATCCAGGGTCACCATGAGTTCAGCCAGGAGGGACGCAACTGGAAGTCACTTCTCTGCCAAATGGCAGTGGCACACACCTTTAGTCCTAGCTCTCGGGAGGCAGAGGCAGGCAGATCTATGAGTTGGAGGCCAGCCTGGTCTACACAGTGAGTTTGAGGATAGCTGGGGCTACACAAAGAAACCCTGTCTTGAGGGGAAAAAAAAGTCACTTCCCTCCAAGCCTCATAGCACTGAAGGAGACAAGCACACAGGAAAGGGCTCCAGCTGGTAAAGAAACTCCATTTGAGCTGAGTTTCTGGGTCGGATGTGGTGTGAACACCCTGCTCCATGTTCTCATGGAGCACACTCCTCAAGTCAATGTGTGGAGAAGGAAGTTTCTAGAAAGGAACAGTTACTAACACCCAGAGAGGAAACATGAGTGACCCGGAGACCATCTTCCAGGGGCTAATTTCCTCTCAACCCAAAAGCAACAAAACCCCACAATTAGCCAGCAGGCGACTGTCCAAGGAGCAGGGAGAACCCAGTGAGAACGGCAATGCTCTTTTCCTGCCTTCCCCAGCCCTTCCAGTACAGCCCCAGTCCTGAAGCGGCAACCCTGGGGATAAACAGGGCAGCAGAGTAGACAAGAGACAGGCCAGCGCCTGAAAGCAGTCTTTACAGCACACAGAAAAGCTACAGGCAGAGCCTCCGTGCCGACCATGAGCTCTTCCAGACGGCATACTACACTTAACAGCTGTGTGTGGTGCACATCTGCAATCCCCACAGCAGAGAGGGAGACACAAAAGGAATAAGAATTCAAGGTCTGCTTTAGCGACACAGAAAAACAGAGCATACCCTGTGCTATATGAGACCTTATCTGGAAAGAAGTAATAAAACCACGAAACTGTAATACACAAGCAGGACACCAAGGGACCTAGGTGGTGCTACAGTCTCTGCACTTCAGCAAGTGGAGAAAGAACAACTCTAACTGGAGGACGTGCTGTGCTCAGTGTAGGCAAGTGGAGCTGTGCCTGAGAATCTAACACCGAGGAGGCTGGGGAAGGTACAGGTTCTAGACCAGCCTGAGCGACACAGGGATGTGAAGAGGAGGGGAGGGGAGGGGGCAGGGGAAAATGAAGGGAGGGAGGGAAGGAGGAGGGAGAAAACTCAGAAAATAAGGACCACCCAGACCAAGGGTTGAACGATAATTTCAGCATGGGGAGTGGACCTAAGCAGTCCCAGGAGACGCACACAAAGCTGTGTGCACATGTGTGTGCATGGGCAGACAGAAGAGGTGGGAAAACAGTACAGGCTGAGGAGGAGGAACCACCCCAAACCCTGCCCCCTCACCCTTCCTGATGGTAGAGATGGATCTCCCGATCTCTCTGGAACCCTGGCTTAACCAACACACCCTGGCCCCCAACCATGCCCCTGAGCAGCAGGAAGCAAAGTTGAGTGTCTATTCTCACAACCCAAAGCCTTGTCTTCCTGTATTTTCTGATGTGGATAGGAAAAGCCAGACCTGTTTAGGGAGACAGGGAGGGAGAGGCTCTGGAAAGAGCAGGGCAGCCCCGCTGCTCCCTATGGTGGGTGGCACTGGCTCTCTGTTTATACCCACCTGGGAGGTATGCTGTAGTCTACAGGAGCACTGTGCCATCAGAGTCACAGTCCCCACAAATTTACACGCTAGGTCAGAGGCATCACTGCAGAGCTTGTGCCTAGCCCACACCCACAGGGCCAAGATTACCCCAAAACCTGCAGAATCAGAGTCTTTCCTATACTTTTGGTGCCAAATTCTCCAAGAGAGTAAAAGCATAGCCCAGACCTACAGAGCCAGGGTCAGCATAGCAGCTGTTGAGAGTGGCATCTGTTGAAGATGTTTGGGTTCTAGAAACTTCTCATAGAGGAGTCAACGTTCCTTCTGCAGCACACAGCAGATGCCTGTAGCATCTAAGCCAAGCACCAAGGAGAGACAGAGCCTATGGACTACTGTGAGCACACCTGACCCAGGCACTGTTCTCTGGAGTTACAGGACAACTGGGTCCACCCGCCTAGACTCCAAGCCACAGTGGAATTACCTGTGAAGGCAAATCTGTCCTCTTCGATTTTCTTCTTGAGGTGTTTGATCTCAAAGTCCCTCTCCTTCAGCAGCTTATACAGTCGCCCGTTCTCATCGACTGTCTCCCGGAGCTCGTTACGAAGCTGCTGGATTTCATCTTCCAGCACCCTGCAAGGGAAAGGTGGACCGACTGCTCCTCACAGGCAACCAGCGCTTAGGCCTCTGCGGCTGGCTTACACTTGTAGGATCAGGGGTAGGCACTAGGGGGCACTAAGAAGTTGTCTGTACAAAATTATACCAAAACTATGAGAGAAAAGAGATTTGAACAGACTGTTTCCAGAGCTGAGGAAGCATTCATTCATGTGCTATGTAAGAAGGCTCAGACAGCGCTGCTTATTTCTTCATATGGGTTACATAAAAGCTCTCGTGTGTGTCCATGTGTATGAGTGTGTGTAAATACACATGTATACAGATATGCACGTGTGCGTGTGTATGGAGCTGAGAGAACACCCGTGGAGGTTATACTCAGGAATCCCATCTATCTTCTTTGAGACAGGGTGTCTCACTAGCCTAGAAGCCAACTTCACCTAAAACCTGGACACCAGCCTCAATTCTTAATTAAGACTTAGAATACTATATGCTCTTATAGGATAACATGTCTGTACACGTGTGTACATGTATGTGCATGTGAGTCTGTTCGTGTGTGAAAACACCAATTATGTTAGACTGGCTGCTCAGATAGCTAAGGACCTGCTTGTCCCCATCTTTACAAAGGCATGTGACCATGCCCAGCATTTTTACATGGGTTCCAGGGATCAAATTTATCTTCATGTTTGCAAGCAGGTACTTTAGGGACTGAACTGTCCCCGACCTTCTCCCCTTCATTCATTTCAAGCCCCCAAGGACTGCAGGCCACAAAGCAAACTCCAAATCCAATATAGACCATGCTCTCTAATGGCAAACAAACAAGATTTAAAATAATCTCAAAGAGCCGGGCAGTGGTGGCACACGCCTTTAATCCCAGCACTTGGGAGGCAGAGGCAGGCCGATTTCTGAGTTCGAGGCTAGCCTGGTCTACAGAGTGAGTTCCAGGACAGCCAGGGCTACACAGAGAAACCCTGTCTCGAAAATTTAAAAAAAAAAAAAAGAAAGAAAGAAAGAGAGAGAGAAAGCAAAAAACATAAAAATATTTTAAAAAATAATCTCAAAGAACAGAGCAAAAAAAAAGAATATAAAAATGAAATCTGGAATTGAAAGAAAAACTAAAATCATGTGTTAGTTAAGAATAAATACTGCAGAGAGGTTAGAATGGTCTCACCACAGAAGCTTTCCTCAGCTTCAGAAATACAGGAGAACTCAGGGTACACACTTCCTCAGATCGCACACATGCACACACACATGCACACACATGCTTACACACACATGCACACACAAATGCATACACACACATATACACAGATGTACATGCTTTATACACTGTCGGTTGTCCTGTGAGGCTTTTTCAGAACTATGAAGCACCCTGATGGGCCTGGGGTCGCCCCTGTGTCAGGCACAAGGCAAGGATATAAAATGTCCCTTATAGCCTCGAGTGTCTGAACCAGAGACTGTGAACTTTGGGACACAGAGCAGAGCTTTAGTTTTAGCTGGGCCTTATGCTGGTGTCTGGCTCTTGGCTTCGTGCCTTAGCCAGCTCACCCCTAGCCTGGAGCTCTTCCCACTCCTATCCTGACACAATGGTCATACACCATGCATCCTTAAACTGGGAGCCTCAGTGAGTCCTTGCTTCAGGCCTGTATATGATCAGAGCCATGGGAAGGGCAAATGACGCAGCCCAGAGCAAGCCCTGGAAACAGCTAAGCAAGCACTTATGAATGACAGCGATTTTAGGTGAGGACCACTGTGAGCTCTGCTGTGCCTGACATTGCTCCGCCAAAGCCCGAGTGACCTACCAGCTCCACTGTCTCTGGTTTGGGGCCAGGTCCACTCACTACAGACAGGTCTGGATCAAGCTGAGGTTTAATATTTACAAGCCATGGGACTTTTTTTTTTTTTCTTTTAGGTTTTTTCGAGACAGGGTTTCTCTGTGTAGCCCTGGCTGTCCTGGAACTCACTCTGTAGACCAGGCTGGCCTCGAACTCAGAAATCCACCTGCCTCTGCCTCCCAAGTGCTGGGATTAAAGGCGTGCGCCACCACCGCCCGGCGGGACTTTTTAATTATTGAGAAAGCGTTTTTTTTTAATTGACATTTTATAGGAGGTCATTTGGAAAATTGAGAAACTGAGTTTGAATCCAGCAAAAATATTCTGGGCAAAACCAAAAGCAAAGAGACAACTCATTGATGGCTGTGGTCCTTGGGACAAGGCTGGCACGAGGAACTGTGTCAGCCTACACAGGTCTGTGTGCGCCTGTGACACAGTCAAGTCCAGAGCACTGAGGACATTCTGGATATCTCTAAACTTTCACACCAATGACTAAAGAAAAAACAAAGTAAAAATCAGCAGCGCTTCAGAACAGGGTGACAGTTACCTGCCGATCTCTCTCAGAGTGTGGTGGGGGGTGGGGCGAGGGATGCTGGCAGAGGTGAAAGACCCAGTCAGAACCAGGATTTACAAACTATCAATTCCATCCCAGCCCTTTGAAACACAGGTCTAAGCAAAGGGAGAGAGAATCCAGACTAACCACGGCGTGATGAGTTTACAGCCTTTCTGTCTGGCTTTAAATACACTGCCTAGCAGCTCTCGCCCCAGAATGCACAGCTCTGTCAGCTACAAGAGGCCTCAGACACCTGTGCCAGACTCATGCTGAACTTACAAACACCTTCCCAGGAGAACTAGCTGTCTACACCTGCCCTCCCCACCTGCCTGCAATGTGTCCACTGCACCCCTGCCCTCTCCACCTGCACCCCTGCCCTCCCCACCTGCACCCTTGCCCTCTCCACCTGCACCCCTGCCCTCTCCACCTGCACCCCTGCCCTCCCCACCTGCACCCCTGCCCTCTCCACCTGCACCCCTGCCCTCTCCACCTGCCTGCAGTGTGGCCGAAGGGTCCTTACCTCTTTTCAAAGATGTTTTTCAGGTTCTGCTCCTCTGTGTCGAGGAGACTGAGACCATCCGGGATCACCATGAGCCCCTCCTGGTCGTCAGCTTTGCTTTGACAGCTCAGCTCTTTCTCCCGCTTTCTCTCCATCTGCTTCTGTAACCGTCGCTGCTGTAGCTCCTGCATGGCCTTGAACTGGAGTCGCAGAGTGTCTGCGGAGCTTTCATCAGCCGCCATCTTGCCCTGAGAACAGAGAAGCCAGAGCTGACCGTACAACTAGCTCGTGGCAAGATGCAGGCCAGCTGAGGCTGAGTGTCTATGGAGCCATCGGTGAGTCTAAGAAGACACTTGCCCCTCACCTAAAGCAGGGCAGAGCAGACTCCCGACTGCAGGTGGCAGCAGGAGACTCACTGTTCTGACTCATTTGCCTGGCCCTTCTGTCAGCAGCTGTCACTTCTGGCTGCACCTAGACTCTCCAGGAGCTGCAAAAGCTGATGGGCTCATCTCCAGACCAGCTGTACCCCAATCTCTAGACATAGGCTCCAGACATCATTTCTTCTCCACAGTTGACGGCTAGATCTGGGAGACGGGCACATACCTACAGTCCCTGACTTTGGATCCCAACAGGAGAATAAGGCATTCAAGGCTAGCCTGGTGTCAAAACCAAAAATAAACACATAAACAATTTATTTAAGGTACAATTTACACATGTTAAAACACATACATCATGAACAGACAGCCCAGCAAATCTTTCTGCTATACTTTGAGGTGACCCACTCTCTCAGAAGACAAAGCCCAAAGTACTGAGTTTAGACCTAATAAGCAGGAAAGGCCCTTTGGAATCAAGTGTTTCTGACATATGACTCCTTGTACATCTGTCCTTCCTTCTCGAAGGCAAGGCATGAGCTTATGATGACGTAAGGAAAATATCATTTCCCTTAAGACACAGCACACCAACCAAGCATCGCTATCTGCTGTCACCTCAGAAAACTCACACTGAGTAGCAAAGTAGGAGCCTGAGGCAAGGTGTCATCTGTCCTAGCCTCCTCTCAATTCCAAACAGAATCTAGGGGCAATTCCTGTACCTGGGACCACTCATGTCTGCCAAGGCTCTGCTCCTGCCTCCCTCTGCCCTGAGTGCTCATTTACTAGGAGTCAGAAACATGTACGCACGCTGAACAATTGTCCTTGCTCTTTCTCCTGTCTCACAGGCCTGTTGTCACTCATGGAGGGGTCCAGGACATATTTAGCGTGTATGATCATACCCTGGTCCACAAACAGCTTCTTCACTCCATCACTCCCACAGCACAGCCACTTCCTGACCGCATGACCGCTCAGCTACACCAACACTATCACCAGAGGAATCGCCATCACACCCACGCTCCGTGTGGCCCCTGCTCAGACTCCGCTACCAGTCCCCACCCCACGCTGGTTCTGTCCGCTCTTTTGCCTTTCACACAATTTCACATGACTAGAGTCACACAGTGGGTAGGTTTTTGTGACTGGATCTTTTTTTGTTCCATGCCACTTTTCAGATGTCCGACCCCACTGCTGCTGTATCAGGCCCTTGCTTTTCAGTGCTGAGTAGCATTTTAGTGTCTAGAAGCCACGCTGGGCCGATAGTTCTGCCACTTGGACACCCCAGAATCAAAATGCTATAAACATGTGAGCATGCTTTCATTTCTCTTCATAAATACATGAAAATTCTGGTGCTGTGGTAAAATCGTGTTTAACTTTCTAAGAAACTGCTATGCACATGCACACACAGATACACACATTCACATATGAATGCATGTATGTAAGCATACTCTTGTCTTTAGCCATGTGATGTCTTGAACCACCTCAGACTGACAAGGCCACTGCCATATGTAGCCCCCCAACCTTGGACTCCTGGCTTTGTCAGCCAAAATGGATCTAAATGAATCACGCTCTCACATGCCCCTCCCCTTTAAGCTAACGTGAAAAGCAACGGGTTTCACTGTGGATCTGCTCACTTTGCTCCTGTGGACCTCTGACCTACTCCTCTTTCAACAGTCCCTTCTTCTGTTTCATGTCCCATGTCTCCGGTCACCTCCTTTCTCTGCCTTGAGGTCCCTTCCCAGGATCCTTGTCACCTCTGGTGCCATGTGACAGACAAGGCAATGTTCATCTTCCTGAGCTCGGCTTATGGCTAACACAGTCACTCCCAGCCCTGTCCCATTTCCTGAGCTGCCATGCTTCTTTCCTCAAGCCCCACTGTGTCCGTGTGCAACCTCTTTACCCACGTCCCGTGGTGGGAATGGCACCTCTGTCATCGAGGATAGGCAGATTTCTCTGTGGCAGGGCTTCAGGAGTCTCCTTTGCTAAACCTCCTTTCTTTATACCCCAGTTTGTGGTTCAGTGTTACAGAAACCAGAGAAACGAACACTCATCATCCAATAACCATACATTTTCATTTTTATGACTGTTCTTGAGTCTGTCTCCATATTGCCTCCCTCAGTGTACTCCCAGGCTCACAAACACTTCAGGACGTTTACACTCCCTGCTTGGCTCCCTGAGCTACCCATCTGCCGACCTGCTCTCAGACACTGCTTTAGCACCAGGCCTATCTCACATGCTCCTGTAAGAGAGAAGACAAATCCAAGCCCCCCTGCTCCCTGTGTCATCTGCCTTGAAAGCATATTTAGTAGTGTCCCTGTATGCTCACATGCAGCCTGACTGCCTCCCTCCCTTCCCACCGACCATGAGGCCCACACAGGTGCCTGTCACTGCCCTTTCCTCCCGGCTGGCAGCAGGGCCTGGCACCCAGCAGTGAGGTGAATCGTTGGTGAGCACTGATGATGCTTAGGACGGTGAGATGGCTCTGGCTGCCCTTGCAGCTCCTCACCCCGCTTGTTGCATGGCCTGCACTGGCCGATAGAACACGCTTCTCAGAAGCACAGCTATGAGCTTGCGGGCCCTGTGCAGAAGCGGAGGTCCAAGCCCAAAGGCACCAAAGGCTGCGGGGCGCTGGCCATCTCTCCTGGCTTGTCTTCCCTACCCTACAGCTAAGTCCTAGCTAAGTGCTCCCACGTGCTCTGCTTCCTTATGTACCCTACATGCCACAAGCATTGAATCCTGCCAGTCCCCAGCCCCAGAGCCAACACCAAATTCTCATAAAACTTTCCCTCCCACTCCCAATTTGCCCTAAAGACATCCAGAAACAGTCATTTGCAGATGTACCTTGTGTCCAGGGCAAGCTACCTTATCTCTGCCTCAGTTTCCCCCTTGCTGACTGGGAGGATAGCAATTATGACCTTCCCAGGGAAGATGGGATGGTGAAGTTCGAGAATGTATGCCAAGCATTGTACTGTGTTCGGAAAGTTAGTGTCCTTGGCACAGGGGAGTCCCTGTGTGAGCGCTGGGGCTTCACTGACAGACACCTATGCCCCACCCAGACTGCTGACTGAGATATACTGCTCCTTGCTCAGAGCCTCAGTATGAGGTGGAGGGCTCCCAATAGGTGCCATGCCAGGAACAGTAAAGAAACCACAGCAGCTTAGGGTGGGGGCACCTGGGAAGAGCAGCACAGCAGGTGGTCAGCTCAGACTCATTCACTTCTGTGAACCGAGGGTCTGAGGCTGACTGAGCAGACGCTAACCTCACAAAGCTCTGTCCTTCCACGTAGATCTCAGTCTGACAGGAGGGAAAGGCCCTGACCACACAGATGAAGTGAATATGCTCTGAGGGGAAGGTAAGAACCCCTAGGGGCTTCCCCAAGGAACTAGCTGAGAGCATGCACCCATGGAGAGTGGGTGACCAGAAACTCATCCTGGGGAGGGAGATAGCAGAGGTAAAACTGGGGCCAAGAACCCAAGAGCACAGAGGCTCTGGTTTCCTGAGTTTGTCATGGCCGACACAATTGACTAGCTGTTAGCCTTTTGGTCTAGATTCTGGACACGACTACCTTTCCCACTGTAACCCCTAGACCAATGACCATCACCCAATAGGCTATTAACATAGTTTTATAACTCAGTCTCTCTGCTCTTGCCTCACTCCCATACTCCAGCCTGTTCTTCACACACTTGCCCCTGGTGCAGTCCAAAGGAACACGCCCACCGTAGCACAAAGCCAGGGTCCCTCCCCTCCCGGGTCATCACTAGGGGTGCCTCTGGCTCGAAGCTTGCACCCGTACTGCTCCTTCTAAGTTCTTGTCTCTGAGTGTTCTCCGGCTCCTCTCTGGCCATCTCTGGATTCAGTGGGTCTCTTCCCTGGGGTGACTCTCCTGGGCTCCTGAGAAGTGCTGCCCCTGTCCCCACTGTGTATGAGTTACCTTTCCCATGGTTGTGGGCAAATGTGTGAGCAAAGCAACTCAAGGGGAGGGGGCCTTAGTTGGCTCATGGTTTTGGAGGATACAGCCCACCATGTCAGGGAAGAGGGTGCCTACAAGTGGATGGTCACGGGGGTCCACTGGGGACGCACAGAGATGAAGGCCCCACTCCTGTTTTCTGTCTGGGACTCTGTGGGATGGCGGGTCTGCCTTTCTCAGCTAAACTTCTCTGGAAACACCCTCACGTGCGCGTGTGCACACACGGAGTTGTGTTTCCCAGATGGTTCTAAATCTAATCAACTTGTTAGTGAACATGAGCCCCATCCCTTGCGTGTACTCAGTGAGCACCCGCTTGTCCCACAGCCCAGGCTGTCTGCCTTTGCACCCGACTGGCAGCACACGTTACACACCAACTGTATTTTTCTCCCACTAGTATGTAAACTACCAGAGGATTCGCACTTAAACTTTCTTTTTAGCTGTTTGAGACAGGGTCCTGGCAGGGCTGGCCTGATGACCCGGCACTTGCTGTGTAGACCAGGCTTGCCTCAAACTCATGGAAATGCTCCTGTGCTAGCCTCCCAAATGCTAGGTATGTGCTACCACGCCTACCAGGACATAATATTTTCATCCACTTTGTTCATGGCCGTGCTACAGGACACAGCAGGCGCTGAATGCGTATTACTAGAAAAGGTGAAAGAATTTGACATTTTAAAGACTACTACTATACTTTGTAACCAACAGGCTACCTTAACCACAAGTAATTGTTACAAACACTTAGATAACCACAGACAACCATAACTGCTTACAACCTTTGTTGCTGTTTTTAAGACAAGATCTTGGCATGTAATCCAGTCCGGTTTCAAATGTATGATTACCAATTTGGGACCAGCATGGGTTTTCTAGTGAGTTTTAAGGTCAGAAGTTATGCACTGTACGGTGAATAGGGCCT